TACCCTCCCCCCGCCCCCGCCCGCCCCCGCGGCCGGCCCCCGCCCCTCCCCTCCCCCCGCCGCCACAGGCCTCTCCCACCCAGCCCCTTGCTAAATCCTTCTTGCGGGTCTCATAATCCGCCCCACTCATCATTACTGGTCCACATCTTCGTCACGATTCCCTCAGGAAAGAGTTCCAGAAGGTTCCGGTCTGGTGGGTTCCCCTAACCGCCTCCGGGCACTGCGGCGGCCGCTCCGCTATATCTACTTTTCGCAGGAGCCACAAACTCCTTCCCGCGAAAGACGGAGCCAGTCAGCAGCCAGAACTCTTCTCGCTTCAGCCAATCAGTGCTCACGAATCTTACGCCTTTTCCGGTCTTCTCCAGCCGCGCTCCTGAAAACGCGCACTCTGCTCCCGGGAGGGTAGGAAGCCTCTGCGGCCATCGTTACTAAGGTCAAAATAGACTGCGCAAGCGGAAGTAAGGCTGAGGGACGTTGTGATAGGACGGTGTCTCAAAAAAATAACCAATCAAGATGATATTTCCGCACCTCAGGCCGTGTAATCCCACCCCCCGTGACTCCTTACATCACTTCCTTTGTACGGCCTCCTCCTGTTCCCGCCAAACTCTTCCCAAGCGACTCCTTAATCTAAAGGGTTTTAGTAGAATTCCTGCTTCCGCATCTGTGCCTGGCTATCAGGCAGCATTTGCGCACCCGGGGAAGTCACAGTACTGGCTTCACGGCACCTCGTGGAGTTGCATGTTCTTTGCCTTAAAAAGCCAAGTTCAGTTCTTTTATTGACACCTTCTCGTCCTGATTTTCCCCAGTGAGGCTATGAGAAACCTACAGTCTTTCCCAGAATGGCAGATCTGAGAATGACATCCCCCCCAACCTGTTCCTCACCCCGCTCTAATCCAGCTTCGCATCCTCGGTTGCTTCAAGTATTCTTCATATAACACAGTTGTGTCCCTACTGTAGAGAGTGGAACACGTCTGTCAGTTCTTTGCTCTAAATACTACTATATTGTTAGGCTTCCTCCTCCCTACCCCAATTAATTTATTAAAAAATATTTATTGGGCTTCCCTGGTGGCGCAGTGTTTGAGAGTCAGCCTGCCGATGCGGGGGACACGGGTTCGAGCCCCGGTCCGGGAGGATCCCACATGCCGCAGAGCGGCTGGGCCCGTGGGCCATGGCCTCTGAGCCTGCACGTCCGGAGCCTGTGCTCCGCCCACAACGGGAGAGGCCGCAATGGTGAGAGGCCCGTATACCACACACACACAAAAAAAATTATTGATGTCTCTTTTGTTCCCAGCTCAGTGCTGACCACTATGATTCAATGGTGAATAAGATAGACATGGTCCCAGGCTTTTGGGCCATTGTATTTCCTTTGCTAAAACTGCAGGCACTGTTTTTTTTTGTTTTGTTTTTTTGGCTACGTTGGGTCTTTGTTGCTGCCACACGGGCTTTCTCTAGTTGCAGCAAGCAGGGGCTACTATTCGTTGTGGTGCTCGGGCTTCTCGCTGCGGTGGCTTCTCTTGCTGCGGAGCGCGGGCTCTAGGCGTGCAGGCTCAGTAGCTCCACGACATCTGGGACCTTCCTGGACCAGGGATCGAACCAGTGTTCCCTGAATTGGTAGGCGGATTCTTAACCACTGCGCCACCAGGGAAGTCCCACAGGCATTGTCTTAAATATTTTACATTAATTAACTCAGTCCTGTGAGGTAGGTAAATACTGCTGTTGTCCCCACTTTACAGATGAGAAAACTGAAGCTAAGTTGTGGGCATCTATATTGAAGCCCAGGAAGTCTGATTCTAAAAACCAGTGTAGTTAGTATACCTTCTTGAACATCCTAGACCTGGGGCACAAACTCACATGACAACTGGGCTCAGGCAGGAAAACTGTAAAGTGAATTGGATAATAGAGGGGAATTTTTTTTTTAATTGAGGTATAGTTGATTTACAATTGTGTTAGTTTCCGGTGTACAGCAAAGTGATTCAGATATATATAGATATAGATATAGATATAGATATGTTCTTTTTCCTTATAAGTTGTTTTTTTAATTTAATTTATTTTTTTATACAGCAGGTTCTTGTTAGTTATCCATTTTATACATATTAGTGTGTATATGTCAATCCCAATTGCCCAATTCATCCCACCCCCACCCCCACCCCCCTCACCGCTTTCCCCCCTTGGTGTCCATACGTTTGTTCTCTACATCTGTGTCTCAATTTCTGCCCCGCAAACCGGTTCATCTGTACCATTTTTCTAGGTTCCACATATACACGTTAATATACGATATTTGTTTTTCTCTTTCTGACTTACTTCACTCTGTGTGACAGTCTCTAGATCCAACCACATCTCTACACATGACCCAATTTTGTTCCTTTTTTATGGCTGAGTAATATTCCATTGTATATATGTACCACATCTTCTTTATCCATTTGTCTATCTATGGGCATTTAGGTTGCTTCCAAGACCTGGCTATTGTAAATAGTGCTGCACTGAACACTAGGGTGCATGTGTCTTTTTGAATTATGGTTTTCTCTGTGTATATGCCCAGTAGTGTGATTGCTGGGTCATATGGTAATTCTATTTTTAGTTTTTGAAGGAACCTGCATACTGTTCTCCATAGTGGCTGTATCCATTTACATTCCCACCAACAGTGCAAGAGGGTTCCCTTTTCTCCACACCCTCTCCAGCATTTGTTGTTTGTAGATTTTCTGATGGTGCCCATTCTAACTGGTGTGAGGTGATACCTCATTGTAGTTTTGATTTGCATTTCTCTAATAATTAGTGATGTTGAGCAGCTTTTCATGTGCTTCTTGGCCATCTGTATATCTTCTTTGGAGAAATGTCTATTTAGGTCTTCTGCCCATTTTTGGATTGGGTTGTTTGTTTTTTTAATATTGAGCTGCATGAGCTGTTTATATATTTTGGAGATGAATCTTTCGTTTGCAAATATTTTCTCCCATTCTGAGGGTTGTCTTTTCGTCTTGTTTGTAGTTTCCTTTGCTTTGCAAATGCTTTTAAGTTTCATTAGGTCCCATTTGTTTATTTTTGACTGGAGTCAGTCAGGAAAACTGTAAATATAGTGGATTGGATAATGGAGGGGAATTTTTAAAACTTTTTTCTCCATAGTAAGAAAAGCAACCACAGGGCTTCCCTGGTGGCGCAGTGGTTGAGAGTCCGCCTGCCAATGCAGGGGACACGGGTTCGTGCCCCGGTCCGGGAAGGTCCCACATGCCGTGGAGCGGCTGGGCCCGTGAGCCATGGCCGCTGAGCCTGTGCGTCCGGAGCCTGTGCTCCGCAACGGAAGAGGCCACAACAGTGAGAGGCCCGTGTACCACAAAAAAAAAAGAAAAGAAAAGAAAAGAAAAGCAACCACACAAGCATAATGGTAAATAGCAACTGACATAAAGAATATGGGGTCAGTGTTGCCAGGTCATCTTAAGTTTTTTTAGCAGGTACCAAAAGCCTGCATTTTTATGTAAAAATTTCAGAATTTTGTTTATAAGTAAATTTAAAAGTTAAAAGGGATTTCCCTGGTGGCACAGTGGTTAAGAATCCACCTGCAATGCAGGGGACACAGGTTCAAGCCCTGGTCCGGGAAGATCCCACGTGCCACAGAGGAACTAAGCCCGTGCGCCCCTACTACTGAGCTTGTGCTCCAGAGCCCATGAGCCGCAACTACTGAGCCCACGTGCCACAACTACTGAAGCCCGTGCACCTAGAGCCCGTGCTCTGCAACAAGAGAAGCCACTGCAATGAGAAGCCTGCACACCGCAACAGAGTAACCCCTGCTCGCTGCAACTAGAGAAAGCCCCGGTGCAGCAAGAAAGACCCAACACAGCCAAAAATAAATTAAAAGAAAAAAAAAAAGACACACACACACACACACAAAAGGCACACACTCAAAAAAACTAAAGGTCTCTTGTCCTGGAAACCCCTCCAGTCCCGTTCAAACCAAGATGGTTAATCACCCTTCAGAGGTGTTTGGTTAGCGTCTCCAGCTGCACCAAGCCCAGTCTGCCTGGCTGACCTATGGATGAATATCTCCTTGCTCCTGTGAACTTTTAGTGATGCACTGGTGTGCCTGGACATTTCATGTGAGACTCAGTAATCAGCCTGAGGTCACAGAGCTAGCAAAAAGACCAACCAGATTGAACGCAGCTCTATGTGACTCCTGAGCCCAACTCTTTTTTTAAAAAAAATTAATTAATTAATTAATTTATGGCTGCATTAGGTCTTCTTTGCTGCGCACGGGCTTTCTTTGGTTGCATTGAGGGCTACTCTTCGTTGTGGTGCGCGGGCTTCTCATTGTGGTAGCTTCTCTTGTTGCGGAGCACAGGATCTAGGCACGCGGGCTTCAGTAGTTGCAGCACGCGGGCTCAGTAGTTGTGGCTCATGGGCTCTAGAGCACAGGCTCAGTAGTTGTGGTGCTTGGGCTTAGTTGCTCCGCAGCGTGTGGGATCTCCCAGACCAGGGTTCGAACCCGAGTCCCCTGCATTGGCAGGCAGATTCTTAACCACTGCACCACCAGGGAAGCCCGCTGAGCCCAACTCTTAATCATGATGTGTTTTTTCCTGTGCCTCCTTTTTGTCCATCCCCTCACCCTTGTCAGCTCCTCTTTACCTTCAAATGCTTAGTACTTTGATGCTGTTGTCACATTAAACAAACAGAGGTGAAAGGGGCTTATTCTTGTTTTTCTCAAACATATTTGCAATTTTAAAGAGTGCCGGGGGTTCACTGCAGCACTATTTACAATAGCCAAGACATGGAAGCAACCTAAATGTCCATCAACAGACTAATGGATAAAGAAGATGTGGTAGTATATACAATGGGATATTACTCAGACATAGAACAGAATGAAATAATGCCATTTGCAGCAACATGGATGGACCTAGAGATTATCATACTAAGTGAAGTAAGTCAGAAGGAGAAAGACAAGTATCATATGATACCCCTTATATATGGAATCTAAAAAAAAAAAAGATACAAATGAACTTATTTATAGAACACAAACAGACTCACATACATAGAAAACAAACTTACGGTTACCAAAGGGGAAAAGGCAGAGAAGGGATAAATTAGGAGTTTGCGATGAACATATATACAGTTCTATATATAAAATAGATAATCAACAAGGACCTACTGTATAGCACAGGGAACTATACTCAGTATTTTTTAATAAGCTATAAGGGGAAGGAATCTG